AAGCAGGAGACGCAAAGCCGTCCCTATGGATGCTGAGAGTACGGCATAAATTATTTACATTTTCAGGCCATCGCTGATTTTTTCCTTCAACCTTCATTCGTATTCCCGGATTATTCATTCCGTTATTGAAGTCCTACTGTTGACTGTTCTTTCAAGTTGAAAAATGTACAGGTCTTGGACATGCAAACAGGTCTTGGTCTTGTAGATAGCTTCCCCGATGCTGTGATGAACTGTGCTGGAGAGGCCGGAAATCGTGGCTGAGGCACTATACAACAGCTGAATCACAGTTGGGAATTGACCGACATCATTGCACCCACGGCGACCATAGCGCAAACCCTACTGCCTGTTTGTCTGGAATGCTCGCCGGCTTCTGTTAATTTAAGTTCGTTTAAAGGCAAAAGTGTGGCTTCCTTGGTCTCAAGGGATCCGTAGGAACAACGCTATTTTGAATAAATCTACTAGTTTTCCTATAAGGACAGCACTTTTATTACATTTTTTGTTGCTAAGAAGCAGCGTATTTTGTCAGAACGGGGCACTCCCGCTGTCAGGCAAAGTAATTAAATGAATTTCCTGTAAGTTTTTCATAACGAAATTCCCAGAACGCCTGCAAGATTTCTACGCTGTGAAAATGTCCATACTGCATACTTATATCGTCACATAAAAAAATGAACACTCTGGGTAACGATTGTTTTATTTCATTGAACACATGTCCAGGAGATTTAAGTACAGCATAAACGATGTAAAATTCATATTTTTAATAGCTCGAGTGGCATCTGAACTCCTCTCAAATGCATCTTGATGTGGTTACTTGCCTTGGAAATGAATTGTGTGCAACAACAACCAAAAGCATTTACCTACATCGACAGCCGATATCGCAATATTAAAGAGAAGGCAATTGGGTGGCGTAAAATTGCATTTAAGGCAGTAGTGGCGGAACACCTTCATTTAAGGGGGGGGGGGCACTGCCGACTTTTGGTCCCATTCTTTCCAGGCAACGCCCATAGGGCTAATGTTAAAATGCCAAAATCAAACGGGGCACGGTGCCCCGGTGCCCTCCCCGTTCCGCCGCCTATGATTTAAGAGTTCAACGCTGCGTGGTCGACTGCCCAATACCCATATCCAGCCGAGAGTGTCCAGCGCGACCCTCTGACCTGCACCGGGTGACCTATAACCCTGGCGCAGCGAGCGTAAGCCGGGGCTTAGCGCCACTCTGCCCGGTGGCCGGCGTCCGATTCGGTCCGGCTCGGATTACGGCGGCGCCCGGTGGCCTCCGGGCCTGCGGCGCCCATCCCGTCGGCATACCAAGGAGAGCGCCATCCCCGTTATCGGCCCCGCGGGCCGTACCGGCCGATTGATTCCGGCTGCCCCGGCTCGCATCCCATTATCGCGGCGCGGGTCAGCGCGGCCGCCGCGCCCACAATAGCGTCATCTCGGCGCGCTCACATCGTCCGCGGCACGCCGGATGGGTTTCAATACCGACCCCACTCGGGTCGGCGCTGCCCGGCGGCCGATCCCGCCCCCGGCCGCTCTGTCGGCGCTCGTTCGGCCGTGCAGAAGGTCCTCAGGTCACGGCCGTCCAGACGGCCGGCCGTGTCCGGCGCATGGCCAGCTCTGTTTACCGCGTCGGCCCGCTTTATGCTCGTCGTTTATATCCATCGTCGCGTCGACAGCCGCCGTCGAGAATGGCGGCCGTGATGGTCGCTGGCGACGCCATCGGCGGAAGATTACCGCCGATAACCGTCGGCGCGGCGATAACAGCGCCGCGGCGACGACGGCGACGCACTGCAGGCGACACAGAAGCGAGGAGGGGCCGGACCCAATCTTGAGAAAAGGCTGGTCGCCTTTGGAAGAGACTGGGCCAGTCTTGAGACAAGGGCTGGGGGAGACTGGATACCACTGGGTGTATTGGGGTGAAGCAGTATAAGGCAGGGCTGCACTTATAGATATCGCGGTTTTGGTTGTAATGGCCAGCAGAGATATTGCCAGACGGATAATGGTAGCGCTTCAGAACTTGAAATTTGACATGATTCCTAAAACGGCTGCTGATAATCGTCCATAACACCCACCGCGAGGGTGATTTGCGGAGCTATAAAACGTAATTGAAAGTCACGCACGGCGCTACAATTTGAATTATTAATGTCATTTTCCCGTAAGTCATATCTATCGAGCGTCCTACCACCCAGTGATGGATAAAATTCACACCGCTGCCCCAGTGTAGATTGTCGACTGTCCCCAGCCCAGCGGCGGGTCCCGCGTCCTGTCCACACCCTGGGGAGCAGGTCCACTCCCCTGACTCGTCCATCAGCTCGTGGCCAATATCTGCGCTCCCGTCACCCAGTCAGTGGGTGCTGCCAGTCCAGTCCAGCCGCGGAATGCGCCGACCAGTGGCGTTTGAGTGGTGGTCAGTCGGCCCGCAGAGACCCCGAGCCGGATCGATCCAACCGGCGACAAACGCCGATCGAACGCTGTAAAGCGGGTCTGTAACTGGGCGGATGGTTAGCAGGGCGGGAGGGGCGCTGGGGGCACGCTACCGAGGTTATGTCATTAGCTATATTGAGGCAGTGAGGAATGTGGGAAGTGGTTTATTGGTATGGAAGATTGGAATCGATTGAGTATGTCATGGAGACAGTGCGATGACTATTGCAATTAATAGCCATGCACCACTTTGCAGCGTAAATGTATAGATGCATAGAACGTGCAGACTGCACCGTATTGAATAACCGTTCGGACCTTCTTATCGAATGTCAAAGCGGGACAGATCAAAATATCTCAATATCTTTCCCAGGGTTATCGGTAAACGGTCTTTTCTTTTCTACCTTCTGTGTTTTACCTTATCTACATAGGCAGCTCTTTTTCTTGCAGAAACAGCTAGAAGCGAACACGAATAATGTTGTAACCATGTGTATTTTCTTTATTTGCCCAGTGGATAATCAACTACACCTTCTGTGCCTGTTCTCCCGCCTGCCACTGCTGTAAATGAATGAATATTGGATATCGGAAAGCTGATTGGCGCTCCCACTGGTGATTGTTCTCCGATACACGTTAATTTTCTGTTGTTGCTGGGGGCCGGCATAAACATTCGTCAATATCGTCAATATCGAACATTTTAACATAAGTTGATATTTATACATAATTAAACGCGAACACGGTTAAGTTCAGTGACAACATATACAGGAGATCGTGAAAGCCATGCCAAATACTTATAGTTATACCATTGAATGCAATGGCATGAGCATCTGTGTAGCTCATTTATGCTCTTGCCTATTATTTTGATTTTATTATCTGTTGATTCTATAAACACGGTCAAATTGTATGCTTACAGTTTACTGCCCAATTGCTTTAATGAGGTTCCTAAAACTGAGCCCCGGAATTTTACATCATTAAGGGATGTCCCCCAAAGGTAAAATGCAGCAACTTCTGAAGTTTTTATTGAAATTTCTTCCGTGCCAGAGAGTCGTTCAGCGGATTCATCATCAAACTTGACAACACATGTCGTAACCCACTGACATTTATGTTTATAAGGAGAGTTATGCAATATGCATGTCATGATTTGTCAGCCGTGTCTGTATTTGAGCGCCCAACATGACTGTCAAAAAGTTGTAAAATGCAAAAAACTACAAGTTTGTAAATATTAACCCGCGCCCTGCTGGGGGGGTGTTTGAACACCCCCCTTTGTGGTTTTTTCGCAAATATCTCAAACACGGCAGCGCGGAGCGCCGCCGTTTTTGGTACACCTTATCATACATCAATTCTACACATGTTGTAAAAATTTCAGACCAAGGTCATTCAAGGTCAGGTCACCAGGTCACTTGAAGTGACCTCACCTCATAAAAAGTTTCAATGTGTCATAGCTACACCGAGTGACCGATCGCTTTGAAACTTTCAGCGATTGCTAAGAGCAATGGCATGTACAAAATATATATCTCAGAATTTTGATATCGATGACCTAAGGTCAGGTCAATTTTGCGACCTCCCCATTATAAGTCAATGGGAGAAAATTGAAATGCGCCTCTTTTGGACGAAAGACATTACAAACACTCCCAAACACTGAATTACAAGTGTTTTAGACACACTGAACATGGAAATGGTGTCCGTGACCTCTGTTTATGCCCTGAGGTCATCTTAGGTCACGAATGGTATCTAACAGTTGTTCGCAAATAACTTTTGATAGAGGCATGCTAGAGCGATGAAAGCGCCTTAGATGTGTTCAGCTCGACGATACGGATCGACTGATATGCAACATGACCCTTTCCGGTAAGGTCATGACCTTGACCTGAGGTCAAATTTTCAAGTTGACCTTTCAAGGTCAAGTTATAGTTCATTCGATGCGTCTTGACGAGAGGAACACGATGCCGGTAAAAGTAAGCTCGTACAAGGCTTGGGTCAAAAGTTATTGCAGAAAAACTGTTTCCGAAAAAAATCGGCTATTTTTGCAGTTTTTGCCCCCTGCAGGCAAAACCGTTTACGTTAGGTCAAATCTGAGAGAATTACCCAGAAAGGGCGTTAATAGGGCTATCAAATGCGCTTTTCCGCGGCGCTGTAGCTCTTTTGGTTCCCGAGTTATGCGTTGGCTTCTTGGAAATTGTCGACATTCGACCTGGAAATCGGCGAAATTTTGCCTTCAATGACCTCTGGTGACCTGACCTTTGACCTGACCAAAAAATTGACCGAAGTGATTTCCTCATTATTTTTGACGCTCTTTCGAACGCCGCCTTCCGCGTATCGCTACGTGGCCCAGGAGCCGAGTTAGAAGGGGGGGAGGTGTTCAAACACCCCCCCCCCCCCCAGAAGGGCGTGGAAATCCAGGACCCCCAGCCGGGCGCGGGTTAGTACACTTATGGCACACAGGCTGTTTTTAGGCATGGTCTGTTTAGTAAGCACAAACGCCGTCTGAAACATTTGTCAAGCCTGCCCACAATGCGCCCTCCTAGAAAGAGCTTGAGAAGTTACATACCTACAGCCTAAGCTAAGTGCCTAACGACTCCACCTTTCTTTTTCAGACAGCAATTTTGTGCTGGGAAATGCCAAGGTGTCGGCAACATTTCCGATCGTCTACTGTTCGGACGGGTTCTGCGACCTCACGGGGTTCGCGCGCGCCCAGATCATGCAGAAGGGCTGCGCGTGCCGGTTTCTGTACGGCGCAGATACGGCCGAGGACCACCGTCGACAGATCGAGCTGGCCCTGCAGGAGAAGACCGAACTCAAACTGGAGGTCATGTTCTACAGGAAAAACGGCGAGTGGCCAGCAGACATGGCATGTTTTAATTTATTATCTTGGTTCAACCGTCATAAGGTGGAACAAAGCTGGTTTGTTTCAAATACACTGAGTTGAGCATGCATTTCTCAGTTGATCGAAAAACTCAAGAACATGTCTTGATGTTGTTACTACAGTGCTTTGACTCATATCGCATTGTCCCGTCTCAGGCTCTCCGTTCTGGTGCCTACTGGACATTGTTCCGATCAAGAACGAGAAGAGGGAGGTGGTTCTGTTCCTGGCATCGCACAAAGACATAACGCCGACCAAAGTGGCGCAGATGTCCACGCTGTCGTACGAGGATCAGGACGACGATCATCTGTGCGACAACGGAGAGCGAGGTAGGTCACCGTGCCCCTGTTAGGCCGGGCGGTAGAATACCACCCGTCCTAACGTCATCGGTATTCATCATTGGTTACGGTTAGGTAGTTTTTCTTTTTGTTGAGACAGTCGCGGACAATGCGGAGCGTAACGAGTAAGGCAAACTGCGGCTCACGCGAAAATTACTTATCAGGTGGGGCGTTCCACGACAAATCGACAAGTGCCCTGCACCCTCATATTTTATTTTTTGCTTAGAATTGGTCTAATGGGTTGTGATGGGCGGAGAAGCCAGCTGTGGCAAGGATTTTTTCTTCGAACAACGGTTTCCGAGATATAGCCTCGGGCAATTCTTGGAGTTCGCGCTGCAGCCCTATGTTTGGCGGCCTATAACTCAGAAACTATTGGCTTTTTACGATAAAAACTTTATATGGTTCAACTCACAATCAAGCAACAAACTATCTCTATCTCGGATTTTAAATTTTTGAAAATTTTGATCACGTGACCTTTTGTCCTATTTCTCGAAGAGTGACCTTGACATTTTCCCCCACTGAAAGTTGCAATTTTGTCTGATGACGATTAAAGCCTTATCAATTGTCATTCATATGCGATAATAAAAAAAAGTGGTTATCGCCCTGCGTTGACCTCAGGTAAGGTCATTTTATGACCTGTCCATTATTACGAGCGGGAGCGACAGCGAGATCTCGAGAATAAAGCAAGATAGCGACAAGCGGTAAACGGTAAAGGGTACACACGGATAAGGTCTATAATTTTTACTGAGGTCATTTTCAGGTCAGGTCAAAGATGACGTCACAGGAGCTAAAAGGAAGTCAAAATAGCGGCACTATACATATATATGAAGTTTTTCTCGAATAACTTTCAAGGTATCCCAGCTAGGAACAAACTAATAGCACCATCGTGATCCTCTCGTCGATCCGCATCGAAACATATGTTTGTTGACCTCGAAAGGTCGAAAGGTCAAAAGTTGACCTTAGGTCACGTGATCTTAGGTCAGGTGTCTATAAAGGCAGTCGATAAATCACAGATATTGTTGCTACAGCTGTCCATGAGCTTGTCGCTATATGCGGGTTTCTCGTATTATAGAAAAGAAGTAGTGATGGCACCAGAAATATCGCAGGCATTCATTCTACGATAGCTGTTTTCTGAGCTTGAATAGGCGGCAATCACGCACACATTCATGGAAGAGTGTCACCCACACGCTATACTGTTGCGAAGCTTAGTCATTAGTGAGGAGCGCTGGCGATCAAATTCCTCCAATCTACACCGCAGATGGAAAGCGTCGCCTGATTAGCTGCCGCCTTAGCCTCGAAAATTGGTTCGCGCGTTGCCAAAGGTCGGCTCTATACATCCGACAAATTGGAATGTGCTCTCCTGGGCTTCTCTCGGGGTTGGTTGGTCTTAAATGAATAACCCTTTACGTTGCTCTTACGAGATGTGTCTTTGCGTAATACGATTTAATGTTATGCGTATTTTCTACGTTGTAATATAGTGCAAATGTTCTAATCCATTTCGGTAGGTCACTCTGGTTCGGCCATGTCAGTTCATCAGTTCCCTGTTTGTCCAAATCAGTCAGTTCCTCTCCCCAGCTCACCAGTTTGCCGTGTTGCTGTCCCCTGCTTGTCCAATATCAGCTGGTTACATGTTCCGGTTGGCACCGGTTGGTCGGACGTGCCCTCTCTCCTAGTCTGGGCGTCACCGGAGGGGCCTGGTGTCGATGTTTGGATCGGCGAACCGCTCGTAAATCAGCGGGATCCCCGGCCGGGAGCACGGACCAGAATACTGATCTGCCCGGCGGCGAAATGGAGAGCCCTGGCGGCAACGGATGATCGGCCGCGTATTGTTTCGGTGAACGCCGATCGTTCGCGTCAGGTCGCTGCAGAAAATGGCCTGTTCTTATCGTCCTGCCACGAACTGAAGTTTGTATTACAGTGTTTTCGTTACCGAACCGTTATGCAAAAGTATTGAACTTGTATGCAGACTTGAGTGTATGAAGTCACGGTGAATCAAACGTGCAGGTGGCATGCGTTTTAGTGCCATACTCCTTTCCTGAAAGTTCTCTCATATTCCTTAGATAATGTTTTGTGTAACAATTATTTGTGGATCTTCTGTTGTATAACCGCAGCATTTTGCTTTTTTGATGCAACAAGCCTTGTTTATAGTGCAGTTCTATTGCAGAAGTTAGCTTTTCTACGAATGAATATAACTTCGTTGCGTTTTCTTTTACATTTCTGACATTATGGGTTCGCTTGGCACAATGGTTACATAAAGCATACTCTTATATAATATCACACGGGGCCGGTAAAATGTTTCATTCAGGACCGAGGGATTTGTTGAGTTTTCCGCACGAGACCGAAGGTCGAGGGCGGAAAATTCAACAAAGCCCGAGGTCCTGAATGAAACATTCCGGCCCAAGTGTGATATTTATTTTAGCATATGCCGTTTAATTTCCATATTTAAGCTTCTTTAACAATTGTACATGCTTGAAAGAAGTGAAAAAAAAACAAGAACGAATATCAAGAACTAAAAAATGTACGTATTTCCTGACCTTAAGATAATAAACCAAGCCGACTCAAGATCACTGTGTTCCATCCTTGTGTCTGGCTCTGAGTTGGATTCATATCAAACCAAGAACATATGAGAAGCTAGAGTAACGTTCGTTTTCAATGTTAGAGAAGAGTGGAAGGTATACCATCCTGTGAAGTGAGCGCTTGGCTTTTTACCCATGTCAGTATGAATAAAGTTTTTACTGATCAATGTGAAATGCGTTTTTTTGTCAATTCATTGCAGTTGTAAAAGGCATGAAATTGACGCCATAAATGTAGGTGATTAACTAATATATCTGTACATTAGGATTTGAAATATGTTATTGAAAACCAACATTTACAATCTGTTCAATAGTTCAAAGCAACCAAATGCAACAAGTAAGTTCACGTTAGATTTCTATCAGTTAAGCTCTTTTCCAGCGCCTTCCTCCGTCTCAGGAAATGCTTCAAAAGTTCGCTGATAAAATGTTTTGCCCATGGGCCGAAACCTTTGACCAATTGCCTTCAACACTGGTTTAATCCAGGTTTAATCCAAAAAGCTTTTACCGCACGCTCGCGCTAATGCTAAAGGCATACTTCGGCATATGCTAAATCGCAAGATTAACTTTCCAGTTCAAACTAATATATGCCCTGAGTCTGATCTTCATAAATTGTTACGAGCTCCGCTGTTCAATCAATTATATTCTAATTTATCATATTCTCCTTGGATGAAGTTTAAAGGTAGTGTGCCAGCTTTCTTGGACCGTATGGAGTTAATGGCCCAGATAAGGAGAACCGGATTTTTAGAACTTATCCATACCTTCAAAACTCATGGAAACGTCTTAAATTCTTCAAATTTTGAGTACCCCAGTGCGAAATTCGCCCCGACGGGTTGTCGGTCGTACCCCAACCACATTTCACACCACTATGAACAATAAATGCACACACTGAAATCGCTATTACCGATATGCTCATCCAATCAAGTTTCGATAAACCCGTTCATCATCATCTCCTGCGGTTTCGAACACGCCTGTTAGGTGGCTTCTGATGCTCGTCGAGGTCGGAATTTCCAAATACGCGTGGTGCGTCGGGCCGCGCGCTCTGACTTCGGCCAAGAAAAATGCGTCAGCTGATCATTGTCATTTCTGCCACTTGCGTGTGGTGAAATGGGGTCATAACTTATAAGACGGCTTTTTCATATCAATTATTTTACATAAAATCATATTTCAAACCATAAATAATGTTCGACAGCCAAATAAAAGAAACAATACCAATACGGGCTTACAGTTTAACCCGCGCCCGGCTGGGGGTCCTGGATTTCCACGCCCTGCTGGGGGGGGGTGTTTGAACACCCCCCCCCCCCCCTAGTAACTCGGCTCCTGGGCCACGTAGCGATACGCGGAAGGCGGCGTTCGAAAGACCGTAAAAAATAATGACGAAATCACTTCGGCCAATTTTTTGGTCAGGTCAAAGGTCAGGTCACCAGAGGTCATTGAAGGCAAAATTTCGCCGATTTCCAGGTCGAATGTCGAAAATTTCCAAGAAGCCAACGCATAACTCGGGAACCAATAGAGCTACAGCGCCGCGGAAAAGCGCATTCGATAGCCCTATTAACGCCCTTTCTGAGTAATTTTCTCAGATTTTACCTAACGTCAACGGTTTTGCCTGCAGGGGGCAAAAACTGCAAAAATAGCCGATTTTTTTGGAAACAGTTTTTCTGCAATAACTTTTGACCCAAGCCTTGTACGAGCTTACTTTTACCGGCATCGTGTTGCTCTTGTCAAGACGCATCGAATGAACTATAACTTGACCTTGAAAGGTCAACTTGAAAATTTGACCTCAGGTCAAGGTCATGACCTGACCGGAAAGGGTCATGTTGCATATCAGTCGATCCGTATCGTCGAGCTGAACACATCTAAGGCGTTTTCATCGCTCTAGCATGCCTCTATCAAAAGTTATTTGCGAAAAACTGTTAGATACCATTCGTGACCTAAGATGACCTCAGGGCATAAACAGGGGTCACGGACACCATTTTCATGTTCAGTGTGTCTAAACCACTTGTAATTCAGTGTTTGGGAGTGTTTATAATGTCTTTCGTCCAAAAGAGGCGCATTTCAATTTTCTCCCATTGACTTATAATGGGGAGGTCGCAAAATTGACCTGACCTTAGGTCATCGATAGCAAAATTCTGAGATATACATTTTGTACATGCTATTGCTCTTAGCAATCGCTGAAAGTTTCAAAGCAATCGGTCACTCGGTGTAGCTATGACAGACATTGAAACTTTTTATGAGGTGAGGTCACTTCAAGTGACCTGGTGACCTGACCTTGAATGACCTTGGTCTGAAATTTTCACAACATGTGTAGAATTGATGTATGATAAGGTGTACCAAAAACGGCGGCGCTCCGCGCCGCCGTTTTTGAGATATTCGCGAAAAACCACAAGGGGGGGTGTTCAAACACCCCCCCCCAGCAGGGCGCGGGTTAAGGCTCGACATTGTGTTGTCTACGATTAGACAGCTGATAACTCATTCCCGTACGTCGTATGGTCGTAACACTATAATGACCTTTGCTTATTGTCACAAGTGCGCCGCATTCGCGATTGTTGCCCGACGCCTGTTTACAGGTGAGCCCACTACAGTTGTTATACATATCTAAAAACCGAAAAACTTTTAGGCGAAAAAGGCACTATTCCAGGCCCATTTTTGATTTTTTTGCGATATTTGGTAAAAACAGAAGCTTCTTATCCTAGGAAAAATAAAATGGGAAATCTTTCAAAGGTGGCACACTACCTTTAACCCTCGCCGGCCGAGGGGGGGGGGGGCGGGTGCCGCCCCCCCCCATAGGGTTTTTTCGCGATAGCTCCGAACACGCTGGCGATAGAGAGCTGAAACCTGGCATACCTGACCTTTGATCCAAGCCGCATCTTTTAACACCAACCGCATTTTTGGGTCAGGTCAGGTCACTGACCTATGACGTCATAAGTGAACCTCTGCACGGTCTTCAGATGTCGCAACTTCGCAACGCCCTCACTGCCAGAGGAGATGTCACAGGGAAATGAAACTTGCAGGATCTAGTATTAATTATGAGTCCCACAACTTGTATATCTCGGATTTTCCCTTAAGGTCATATGAGGTCAGGTCATTTTCGTGACCTCACCATTATAAGTCAATGGGGAAAAATGAAAACTGCTATTCTGGCGCCGGGAACGATCTCCAACTATCTCAAGCACACAGAATCGTGATTTTATGCACTCCTTGCAAGGTTAGATGCGTCACTTTTGCAATGTTGACCTTGCGTGACGTCATTTATGACGTCATCAAGGTCATATTAGTTTTTCGTCAATAACTCTTGATCAAATTGAGCTAGCGAGTCGGAAAAGCCACCAATGAACTCAGGAAGACCTGCCGAATCGAATGATATGCGACATGACCTCTTTCGACCAACTTCGTGACCTGGGGGTGCTGACCTGACCTTGACCTGAGGTCAACACCCAAAGTTGACCTGACCCGGACAAAAAGTATATCATTCGACGCGCCTGAGCGAGACGAACACGATGCTGCCAAAATCGGCGCTCTGCGGCCGTTTTTTGCGAAGTTATTCACCAAAAACTGAACCGTACCTTGGGGCACTTGACCTGACCTCAGAGGTCACCGGTTAACCTAGGACCTTAAAATCGGGTACCAATCTCTGCGTCTCGTAACGGCGCACACGCTCGTTTTTTTCCGCGACGCGCTAGCTCCACCAGGGGCGAAACGGCGAGGGGGGGGGGGGGTCGTACCCGCCCCCCCCCCTCGGCCGGCGCGTATGTAGAAAACCAATAGGTCCGGCGAGGGATGACAAGCGATGTTGGACTTCGCTCCGGCTCGAAGAGTACGTATATCCAGCAGGGGAATGGAAATGATTCTCTCCTTTTTATGTCAGCAGGCACAGACACATTTGCTTCGACGTTTCTAGTATCTATCCGGCATACTCCATCTGAAATCGTCGAAGTGATTTCTTTTAGTGTCAGTTTGACGTTTCCAGGACAAATCTCCCCTGAGCGCGGGGCCTCACAAACCTTTTGGCTTTGAATCATACTCTTCAATACTTTTGTCTCCTATACATATATGGCACAGAAGAAAGCGGCAGACCGGAGATCTATAGCACTCCCACGTTCAATTTGGACATGGATTGCTGCTTTCATATCTGCTGCAGGCATTCTTTAAAGATTCCTTTTTGTCAATGTGTCATATTTGTGATACCGGTCGTGTCCTTTCAGCCGGCTCCTCTGTTGTCAAGTTGAGTTACTGAGATCATACGCAAGCGCAGGATGCCTGGAACGATATAAGTAGAATAATATTGATTATTGACACTGAGCTCTCTTTGAACCTTTCAATAAACCAAGCTGTCTTGTCAAAAGGATGGACCTTTTGAGATATAATTCGGTCATCACACCAGTTCCCGGTCTCTCCCGTCGTCACCGCCCCTGACTGATCGCCCTCTGCTAACCATCGTTGACCAACCCCCTTCGGTCACTTTCTCTGACCAATGCACCATCTTGACCGACCGCCCTGACCGACAGTTACCCCTTACCGACCGCCACCCCTGAATTCCCCCCCCCCCGCCCCCAGATCCGAACGGCAACGAGCTAGACGTCGAGGCGCCCCCGATCAACTACCAGCGGCGGCGCTCGCGAGCCGTGCTCTACCAGCTCTCCGGCCACTATACGCAGGAGAGAAAGTCCAAAATAAAGCTCAATAACGTGAGTACCGCACTCGACACACACAACTCGAGTGGCAGCGCCGGTGGGAGTGGGGTCGGGTTGTCTTTGAACCTGGCGGCAGTGGTGCTCAGAGGGTAAAATTTATCGGAGCGAACTTCTGTATCAAGGATAAAAGGAACTATCTAAGGTTATTTCCAGAACAATCATCAGAGGATAACCAAAGCTATAGACGTTTTCTAAACGGTACAATGTGTTAGACGTGTATTATTGACTAGCATTTTAACATGTTTTTTTTATTAATACACTCTTTTATGTACCCACAAGTAATACTTACGCTTCTCCATTGGAGGTAAATGTATGTAACTGTTGCATACACTATATTGCATTCTTCTTTCGGGGGCTAAATTACTACTGTTGTTTTCTAATTTAGCATTACGCGTTCAAATGCTGCACATCCGCTTTTTCCGCTCGAATGAGGGTGTTTTTTTTTAGGAAGGATGCAAACTCGAACGCCTTTTTTTGCAGTCGCTGCTCCAGCCTGGATCAACGGCGCCACTTCCCGAGTACAAAACTGTGTCTGCCAAGAGATCCAAGTTTGTTCTGTCTCATTATGGTAAGTGCCGTGAATTCAAACATATCTTTTAGTCAATACAGAATAGAACAAATTCGGACATAGGAAATATGATATGATAAAAAGCAAGTGTTTGTGCATGGCTAACGCATGCTCTATTTGAAATACCACAGTTCCATGAAATTATGCAGAAGTAATGTAATATTCTCAGAATGCCTCACCATAGTATTAACCCTCGCACGACCAGGCCATTTCTCATAACACGAACGACCAGGGGGGGGGGTTGTTATGACCCCCCCCTGGCGTTTCGAAACGGAAGGTCGTAGAGCTTAGCGGAAAAAACCAACGGATTGCTCTCAACGAGATCTCGCGATTGGTGGTATATTTTTTGGTCCTAGGTCAACATTTGACCTACTTATGACCGGTCAAAGGTCAAATTTTCCGAAAAAATCAAACTTTTTCAACTTTCCGCGGCGATTGCGGCAAAACGGTGGGAGATATCGACTTGAAACCTTCACTATCGTGTTCCTTGATCAATTCTCTATCGTTTGGTATGTATTTCGTTTCCCTAGCTCTAAAAATGGCGCGTTGGGAGCGCCGGAAGTCGGCAAGGTCACAGTCGGCGGCAGAAATTCGAAAAATCAAAATTTAAATTTTTAAAATCTGATTGTATTTTTGGATTTGGGAGGTCTATTTGCTCCCTATAGAAGCTAATATTGCTGCATATTCCCATTGAGGTGACAAGAATTAGCAAAATAGTGGTTCGGGGCGCTTTTCAAAAATAGTACCGGACGCTGTTCCTCTTGTGACGTCATAGCTCCGTGACCTGACCTGACCTGACCCGGTCAATTTTCTTGCACCACACGATAGCCAATGCTTGCCCCAACATGCATGGGAAGTTTCATCATGATCCATCAAACAATGTGGGTATCACCGGCAGAAAACCTAGGGAATCGGCGCACACGCAAGATACCTATAAGAAACAGGTAGATCCGATGTTTGAAAGTAAAGCCCAAGTCACAAATTTGACGCACCTGTGACATTTCCTGACACCCACGTGACTATTGTATTAACTTTTGTGTTTTGCGATGTTTGACCTTATTTAAAGTACTGAAAGCTCAAAATGAATAATTAATGTTGTTTAAAGCAACATATTAATAATTATGTTTGTAAATTATCGATAAGCTGCTTATAGTAGGTCACGTGATTGCTACCAGATTATGTGCTCAGAAAGCATCTTTCAACTTCGATTTTGAACAATTTTTACCTCCTTTGAGGCCAAATGATGGACGGTTTGAGGCACACGATGAAATGCTGAATCTATTGATGCCAAAATTTGTTCGTTTTTTGCATTTTAAACTAGTATATCCTGGCTCAAACTTTGACCAGTTTGTGTGTAAACCCTATGGTGAAGGGAAAACTTCACGCCCAGCAGACGTCTTTACAGTGCTGCCAAATCGTGTTTGGTGGGGGTCGCGCACAACGTTTGGTAACTGTCGGCCGGAGGCTGTACCTCTTATGACGTCATAACTCCGTGACCTGACATGACCCGATCAATTTTTTCGGCAAAAGATGCGCAAAGGTTGCCCCAGAGGGTATTGAAAATTTCAGCCCGCTACGACAAGCCGTTTAGCGTGCACTTCGAAAAAACCTCAGGGGGGGGGTTGATACAACCCCCTCCCTAGGCGTTCTAGGGTTAAAAGCATTGACATAATATTACCCGTGATTAGAAAGTCTGGACTGTTTTTTTTTCTTCTTCTTGGAAGTACTAAGCACATTCAGTGCACCTTTGTCACGCTTGCGCAGATGTGTTCAGCAAGTACTCGAGAGAGAGAGAGAGAGAGAGAGAGAGAGAGAGAGAGAGAGAGAGAGAGAGAGAGAGAGAGAGAGAGAGAGAGAGAGAGATAGAGAGAGAGAGAGAGAGAGAGAGAGAGAGAGAGAGAGAGAGAGAGAGAGAGAGAGAGAGAGAGAGAGAGAGAGAGAGAGAGAGAGAGAGAGAGAGAGAGAGAGAGAGAGAGAGAGAGAGAGAGAGAGAGAGAGAGAGAGAGAGAGAGAGAGAGAGAGAGAGAGAGAGAGAGAGGAGAGAGAGAGAGAGAGAGGAGAGAGAGAGAGAGAGAGAGAGAGAGAGAGAGAGAGAGAGAGAGAGAGAGAGAGAGAGAGAGAGAAGAGAGAGAGAGAGAGAGAGAGAGAGAGAGAGAGAGAGAGAGAGAGAGAGAGAGAGAGAGAGAGAGAGAGAGAGAGAGAGAGAGAGCGAGAGAGAGAGAGAGAGAGAGAGAGGAGAGAGAGAGAGAGAGAGAGAGAGAGAGAGAGAGAGAGAGAGAGAGAGAGGAGAGAGAGGAGAGAGAGAGAGAGAGAGAGAGAGAGAGAGAGAGAGAGAGAGGAGAGGGAGATAGGAGAGAGGCGAGAGGGGAGAGAGAGAGAGAG